ATGGGCAATGCACGGTGCCAGATGCTCTGAGAATCCAAAGTGAATCACATAGATTCTCCCCTAAAATTTCTCACTGTCATGTGGAAAAAAGTAACAGTTACATAACTAATTATAATACAACTACATAAAGTGCAACCTAGATTGAAGGGTCTAATTAATCATGCCCTTCTTTCCTTCCAAACTTGAGGACCAGAAAATCATCATCAGACTACATGGTGTTCAACAGTGGGGAAGCATGTCAGGACCTTCTCCCTACCTCCCTTGAGTCCAAGGGAAGCTGTGGAGCTGTATTTCTTTCCCCGTGCAGGGGAGAAAAATGAGCAGTGGATTTGGAGGAGGGCTAGAAAATGGAAGTTTCCTTACAGCTTAGGAGGTGGGAAGACACGAAACAGACGAAATCAAAGAACACACCCCAGAGCTGGCCTGGTAGGGACAGATTTTTCAGTACTCTTTTTTTTCTGCGAAGGAACAGCTGGGAAATGAAAAGAGAAGGAGCCTTCCCTTTCCTATGGGGTGGAGCAGAATCCCAGAAAAAGATATCCTTATAACGTCCTAGGCGTTCAGAGAAGAGGTTATGCTGAACAAACACTCTCTGATTCCACGGGATCCTTATTATTTTCTTTAAAGCCCATTTTAGAAACTTAATCCTTTCTACTTAAAAGACTGGAAGTTTGGGAGTCAGCAAGAAAGCCCACGCGGGGAAAGTGCTACCCTTGCATGGAGACCAGCTGACCTGGCCTGGGCTACTTGTTGCTGTCCTTTCCTGCAGAGCTTGCAGGGCATGATGTGGCCTCTGAGCGTGCAAATGACATTAGCCTTGGGACCTCCACATAGGGCTCCTTCCTGCCCATGAAAACAATGACCCTGCAGGAAACAAGATATAGCAATACATTTATTTTTATTTATTAGGGGAAAACAACTGACAATAGCCCTCCCCCACTCTGCTTCCTGGGTAATTAACAGCTGTCTGGATCTGGTCAAGACCAGAGCAGATCGTTGGCCAAGAGGAAGTGACCTGGAGCAGAAAGTATTACAGGAGAGTAAAAACAACTAGGGCTCCAGTTTTGATACATGCACAAAATGATGAAGCATGATAGAAATTATATCAGCTATGAAAATCTACCCTCAAGCACTAACTATGTAAGCCCAATAAACTCCTTGCCCTGTCTGGTTGCTTTTACTGGGCTTCTCTAGGAATCTGTGTCTGGGATGCTATGTGCAAAAGGGGGTGTTTTCTGATCTGGGTGAAAAAAATTGGGTAAACTAATTAAGCTAGAATGAGAGTAGCAGTTTCCAAACTGGAGTTCAGGAACTATATGTAATGTTAGGCCTATGAGCCAGGCACGGTTGTAATCCCAACACTCAGGAGGCTGAGACTGAAGGTTTGAGAGTTCAAGACAAGCCTGGCTACCTAGTGAGTCCCTGTATCATAAAACCAAACCAAACCAAACAACAACAAAAATGTTAGTCCTATGTAATAAATGGGGTGAGGGCAGGATCTGAAAGCCAGAGTTATTTTTGTATTTTTACTGTCAAGGACAGTTTTCTATCCTCATGAATTCATGGACATGCCTCATCTCAGCTTCATCTTTTCAACAAGGGTAATAATACTTAATCTACTGAATTATGATAATGGGTAAAGGTAGATGACCAGTAAGTACAAAGGGATTCTTCCAGACCATGGCAGAGTCAGTAAATAACAAACAGCCTATCATCTGTCTGTCTATCTGTCATCTATCATCTGTCTATGTATTTATCAATTTATCTATCATCTTCCTCCTTCTTTCCTTCTCTCCCTTGTTTCCTTCCTTTTCTTATCTCCATCCCTTCCCTGTGTATCTCCATCTCTTTGTGTATGCGTGTATGCAGTGTGCATATCTGTTTGTGTGTATACACATTTTTTTTTACTTAGGGGCCTGCTATGTAGCCCCAGGCTGGCCTCACACTTTTGATCCTCTTGCCTCTGCCTCCCAAGTGCCGGAATCACAAGGAGATCCACTAGTATCTCCTTCTGAGCCATGGCTTGCATTCCTCGTGGTAGAAGAGCTAGAGGACAAGAATCAGGTCTCAAGGCTCATCCACAGGAAATGGACACAAAGTGCCAGTCACAGTAGCTCCACCTGCTGATTCACGCTCACTCTTCTTACAATCCCTTCCCTTATCAATGAGAGCAGAGGCGTCTTTGGTGTGTCTCATTCAAGAGTGTCACGTTAGAAGTAGGACTGTCCCTTTCTTTGGCATATTTTGTTCTAATCTAGAAAAGTCATAGCATAATTGTGAATGCCTCAACTTTAAAGGAGGCAAAGCCTACCCAATGCCAGAAATCAAAATCTTTTTGTTGCTAGGGCCTACTGAGCAACACAGACTTATCTCCAATTTATATACGCAAAACCACACCTCCCAAACCAAAGCTTATTCAGGATTTTCTTAAATTCTTTTTCTAAGAAAACTTGTTAGAATGTTTCATACTACCAAAAGTGAGGATTAAATATTTGTGAAGTTCAAAGAATGTCACTTTGAGTAGTACTACATTAATGTAAGAGAGAAGGTCTTGGTTTAATTGGCTATCAATAACCAAAAAATTCAAGGGCTCACATCCTGTCATTCCAGAAAAGGAGTCAGAGAGGAACATAACGAAGATGTGTTTTAGTCAATGGGGCCCTTGGCTTATCTAGAGTGAAGGCTCTTGTGGAGGAGTTTAGGCTATAATTCAGGAGAAGGGTAGAACTAGATTTTTGAGGGCTTTGAGATTTCTTTTTCTTTTTTTTATTTTAGAAAAACCTAAGTCACATAATAAGAATTACAATTTAAAATGTCCCCTTGTAAATCACAGTGGAGGTGAGAGGAACTGGAACCCAATTGGAAACTTCAGGACAATCCAGGTGTGGGAAAATAGCAGTGAGAATGGAGGGGGTAGAAGAGAAGTAAGAATGGGTGAGATTAATTAATTCAGAGGACGGAAGCAAAGGTGTGGCATTTGTTATGGGCTGTCCAGTGCATTCCAGGTGCACTGTTGGTGCCTAAACCCCAAAGCTCCCTCAATTCTCTCACATTCCCTGGTATTAGCTGACAGAATCCAGTCTCAGCATACCTCAATGCTCTTGCATCTGTCCATTGACTACTTGACCTATTATTCTTGTTTTCTATTTTCTCCTCCGCTCTACTCTTTGTTCTTGTAATTCATATCTATTTTATTCAAATCTATTTTTATTCAATCCCCATCACTTTGATGGGGATTTCAAAAGGAGAGAGGATCATTAACAAATGGATTCATATGCTACGTTTAGACTGATAGACCCTTTTATTGGATACAGTTCAACATGTATAAGACTTCAAAATACCTATGGTCTTTGATGCAGCTGATCCATTTCTAGATAACTATCCTCTGGAAATAATTCTGCAAGTGCATAAAGAGATGTGCATAAGGATGTAGGGACATTGTCTATAGCATTGAACATAATTGTAAAAAATCAAAGAATTTATGTGCTATCAGTAAGAACCTGACTGAATGCGTCAATAGGCCTATGCTACAAAACTCTATGCAATAAAAAAAAGAAAAATACTGTTGACCTAAATACACAGATCTGGAAATCTCGCTAAAATTTCTTCTTAAATTTAGAAAGCAAATATGTATCATCCATGAACACACTTGTATTATTTAAAACCTCAAAACAATATATATATAGATATTTCAATTCATACTTACAAGTGAATATAGAACATGGAAAACTAATTTGCTGATGTTCATCTTGAATCCACTTAGTTTGACTCAGGCTTGTGACTCAGGCCAGGCACGTGCCTGTGTTCTCACTCATACCTAGAAGTGGGCAGCTGCTCATCCACAGGTTCTCGCTGTGCTGGGCAGTGATCTCACAGGGTCACCACTGGGACACTAAGCCTACTGCTCATCAACAGAGTAATTATATTCCTTCACCAAGGCAAAGCTCAAATTCTTCCTCCTCTTTCAATTAACTTGATAAGTCATCCCTAAATGCGTACCCTGGCTTTAAATGGGTGATTAAGTGTATAAGTTATCTATGCTGTATGCAAACTACCCCCAAAAACCAACACACACTTACCTCTCATGTTCTGTGATTCAAAAACCTAGGTGTAGCTTAGCTGGGTTCTGTGGTTTAAGATCTGTTTCAAGGCCTGCCTGTGGTCAGCTCCAGGCCGCACCAAGGGATGATTCACATCCTTGCTCAGCCTTGTGGCTGATGGTGCCATTTGGGTCCTTGAAGGCTGTTCACTGGAGGCCACCCTTACTTTCCTGACATTTGGGCCTCTCTGTAAGGCAGCTCACAGCTGATAACTGGCTTCATGAGCTAGTAAGAAGGAGGGGAGGAAGGGAAGGAGGGAGGGAGAGAGAGAGAGAGAGAGAGAGAGAGAGAGAGAATAAGTGAGCAAAAAATCTTTGAATCTAATCTTCAAATCACCCATTGTTTTGTCACTAGGTCCAGCCCTTAAGGGGTGGGAGTTGGTTCCCCTATATCATGAATTCCAGAAGGTAGGGTCATTTTAAAAAGTTGCCTATCAGAACGATTAAAAGTTATTCAGGGGGTTGCATGAGCAAAATCACAAGCAAAAGATTGGGGGATACAGGTGAAAAGAGTCTTTAGGCAGATTCATCTCTTAAACAAGTGGCAACTAAGCAGTTGCTTGCATAGGGTAGGTGCTAAATTGCTGTAGCTTTTTTTCTTTTAAGTTCTAATTTGGGAATTATTTCAAAGTTAAAGTTGAAGAAAAAGTAAAATAAAGCTAGAAATACGGCTCAAGCGGTAGAGCTCCTACATAGCCAGCACAAAGCCGAGTTCAAACTCCAGTATAATCACAAGAAAAGTAAAATATTCCCATATACTTGTTACTTTTTGCAGAATCACAGTTTGTGAACAATTATACTTTGAATGCATCTTGAAATTTGTCACACAGGTAACCACTGGTGAGGTGTCTACATAGGAAGTTATCTCTCAGACGCTTTCTTCTTCTTCCTCTGCCTGCAGAAAACCCTGAGCGAGCAGCTCTGTACTTTGTCTCTGGCGTGTGCATCGGGCTGGTCCTGACCTTGGCTGCCCTGGTGATGAGGATCTCTTGCCACACGGACTGCCGCCGGCGTCCCAGCAGGAAGTTTCTGCAGGACCGTGATAGCAGCAGCGACAGCAGCGACAGTGAGGATGGCAGCGAGGACACGGCATCCGACCTCTCGGTGCGTAGACACCGCCGCTTTGAGAGGACTTTGAACAAAAACGTGTTCACGTCCGCGGAGGAGCTGGAGCGCGCCCAGCGGCTGGAGGAGCGCGAACGCATCATCAGGGAGATCTGGATGAACGGCCAGCCCGAGGTGCCGGGCACCAGGAGCCTGAACCGCTACTACTAAGGAGCAGCAGGAACCCCCGGAACCTTGAAGGGAGGGCTCTGCAGGGACGGTGGACACCAGGAGCTGAGCCCAGCTTTGCTAATATGGTAGTAGCAGAGAAAAGCAGGACATGCCCATTTTCTAGCCAGGACTGGGTTCTCCTTTTTGAACATTATCCATGGAGAAGTGGAAAAAAACCCACTAATCAACCTTTCCAAGTTTTGGAATGGTGCTGAAACCCCATCTCCAACAACGTGGATGGAGATTCGAGAACCGAGACTATGGTTTCTCTTGATTTCTGAGGATCTCAGAAGTTTGTGTAGGCTTCATTGCTCTGTTACTCCTTTACAAAAGGAAAGATTCTCGTAGCATGAGAGCTGGGGCTATCAGAGTGAACTTAACCCAACAAATGCAATTTTCTAAATGACTTCATGCTATGGAGGTGATTCTAATGCAGATAGCATGATCTATGCTTATTATTTAAGGCTAAAATTTTTAAATCTTGTGTTGCAATGGCAACCTCTCCATTTGAACTGACACCTCAGGGATTAAAATCCTATTTTTAATATAGTTCCCACCTCATTCATGAAAAATGAATAGAATTATTATATTATGGGCAATGGTCAGTGAACTAGAAAATGTCAAAAACCTCAAAGGATGAAGCATTTTTATTTTAAATGGTTTATAAAGTATATATTGACATGCGTATTTGAAAATGCTGCATAAGAATATAAGTTGTGTGTCCTCCTCCCATTTTGGAGAGAAGAAAAGTTTATTATGATTTCCAGATAACCATGGTTTTTAAACATTTTTGTTTCAAAAGAAAAGTTTGGCTTGGCAAAATAGAATGAAAATGGGAAGTAACTATTAAAACCAAAATTAGAATGGGATAAAAAAAATAAATGTTTCATAAAATCCCTTTTTTGGTTTCATGTCTGTTTCTGTGGTTTCATGGTTAAATGATAGCTGTTTTATATAGGTGGGCATGACCTTTGCCAGGCCTCTCAGTTACTCGAACACCTCCTGTGTGATTATGGACTTTTCATTTTCTGTAGGTTTTATGTTGTGTTTGCAATGAAGTTGAGTTATTGTTAAGCAGGTAGAGTATAGAAGACTTACCTAAGCAAGAAATAGGATGGTGGTCCCCAAATGGAAAGAAGAAGTTGGTAAGTAAGGAAAGAGGAAAGACTGTCACATTTAGAAATAGGTCACAGAGGAGGAAGCAAAATCCTCCTCTTGGAGAAACAAGAACCACGAGATCCGTCTGTTGGCTCCCTTCCCTTGCTATGGAGTAGGTTGCTTAGTTAGCATATCTGGATGCACCATAACTTTCCTACCCATTCACTGACTTTGTCCCCATGCCTAAGAGGATGTTCAAGAGACTTCCAGTAATGGGGTCTCTACTGCTTTAGCAGTTCACACTTGAAGGGCTTAAAGAGCTGTCTTAAAATTGAACAGTCATAATCTCAGGTTACTAAGGGGCCAATACAGTTTGCTTGAAACCCTCAGTGGCTGGTCTGATTATGTCATGTTCTCCAAATGTAAGGAAGACACTCCCGCTCCAGCTTCCTTTAGGAGCCTCTTCCTGCACAGGGAGCCATAATCAGCACATCTAAGCCCAGAGGAACATGAGGCAGGGAGCAAACTGTAGTCACTTCTCAATCGTTCCAATGCAATGTGAGAGGAAAGTAGCACCTTGCTCCATGGTTCAGAATGTAAAATCACAGAAAGGATGGTATGAAGTTTGTATAATAAGCACACACATGCACATGCAGTCATGGGCAAGAGGGTAGGACTGGAGAAAGGATGCTTAGCAGACACTCACAGTAGCCCTTACCTCTGTCCTGTCTTTGTTTTCCTACTGCTTCTTCTGATGTTTATTTTTAATTTTTCTTAATGTTCTCTATTCTCTTCCTCACTCTCTTCAGTATGGGTCCATATTTCTAACCTTGAACAACTGATCTGCTCATTGCACTCATGTGGAGTCATCTCACATTGCAATGGCTCTAAAGATCACCTACATGCTGATGGTTTAAATGACTCTCATCCTGGGAAGTTTCAGATTCATGGCCTACTGCCTTTCAACCACAGGAGATAGTTGCCCCACAGAAGCTATTTGGCATTGTTAGGAGGACATTCTGGTTGTCACTGCTGGGTGGTGCAATGCTATGGGCATGTAGATGCTGGAGCCAGGGGTGCCACTAAACAGTCTATAGTGCTGAACCCTGTCTTCCACCTATCCATAATGCCCCACAAATGAGTAAAGAAACTTCTAAGCAATTGCAGAATAGAGCCCCGTCCAACTTCGTAACCCACAGAATACATTAGCAAGATATTTGCTATGGTTTTATGTCACTATGTTTTGGGGTGGTTTGTTACACAATAGACAACTGGACAACCCTATGCTATTGAATGTCTCCTCCAGATTCATGTTGAAAATTAATTGCCTGTGCAACAGTTGAGGGAAGGGGACTTTAAGAGGTGATTAGGTCATAAGCGTTCTATCTTCATGAGTAGATTAATATCCTTATTGTGGTAGTGGGTTCCTGATGAAAAGAATGAGTCTGGTCTGATTTTTTTCACTCCTGAGTGCCATGTCACAATGCAGCAAGAAGGCCCAGTCTCTATAACCATGAGTCAAATAAACTTCTACTGTTTATATTTTACCCAATCTGTGGTATTCTGATATAGCAGCAGAAAATGGACTAAGACAATTCCCCAAACCACACTCACCTTCTTTGGGATCTAATACTCTTGTCAGTTAATGACAAGGCAAGTTACAGGGTAACCCAAGTCAGAATACTGGCTCCTGTCCAGTATTCTGGCTCCTTGAGCCTTCATATGTTAAGTCACGCATTGTGATGTCTTATCTTGGTTGTCAACTTGACTGAATTGAGAGAGATGCATAGAAAATCTGAGCCACTGGTAAAGCACACTTCTAGGAGTGTCTTTGAGGGTGTTTTCACAATTAGTGGATGGGTCCATGAACTGAGTGGGGAAGACCCCTGCCCTGAATGTAGGCCTATCCAGTAGGCTGGGGGTCTTGATGGAGCAAGTAATGAGAGAAAGGGGGAAGCTCACATGCCCACTCAACTCTTCTTGAATGGGGCATTCTTTGCTACTATCACTACCAATGGACATCAGACTTCAGATTCTTCAGCCTTTGAGTGTGGGCTTGCAGTAGAAACTCTTCAGCCTTGGACTGTGGCTGCACCATCAGTCTTCCCTGTTCTGAGGCTTCCAGCTTTTTGGACTGAGCAGCTACTGGTTTCGCCAGTTTTCCATCATAGAGATGGCCATTGGGAGACAATGGCCTTTGATCATGTAATCCAATCTAACAAATCCTCTTTTATGATTGTGAGGGTATATATTTACATATACACTATGTATGTATGTATTATTGGTTCCACTCCTCTGGAGAACTCTAATACATGGATATTTCTTGAATCTAGCCTTCCTTTACAACCTAGCCATCCTGACTATAGCTACCAAATGATCTCAATTAAATTCACAGCTGGTCATCTACCAATCCCTCTTTTAAACACTACAACTTCTTCCTGTTGCTTATTTAAAATGTCCAAATGCCTCTAGATGGCATTCTTATGTTCCTCATGGAAGATCTACGCAGTTTCATCTCCTGCCCCTCCTTGCCTATTCCTTTACACTAATGATATTGATTGTTTACTGTTCCTACCACACTCTTATTTTGACTCTTGCTTCTACCTAAAATACTTTTCCCTCCTTCTCTTTCTCCCACTCTTCTACCTATCCTAAAGATTCAGGACATGTGTTTCCTCTCTCTGGAAGCCTTCCAAGTCTTCTCCAGGCCAGGCTAAGTATTGTCCTTTAAGTTTTCACATACCCTTGCTTGCTATGCTCACTACTCTGACCACATTGTTTTGAAATCATTTACCTGTACCTCAAGGTTCTTATTCTTCTTGAGTCCCAGAAGTTGTACAGAGCTTGTCATGTAATATGCAACTATTTGTTGAACTGCCCTAGACTATAATGTATCCACTAAACCTTGTTTTCTTTGTCTCCTGGGCATACAAATTACTCCATTTGGTAGTTAGAAGTGACCATATGACCAAGTGCTCCCCAGTAGAATGCAGTAGACCTACCTAATTGAGATTTGCCATTTTGATGTTACCTGGCTCATAAAAGCTTCCATATGGTTCTGTATACCTTCTCTTGTCCTCTCTGCTGACTGGATGCAGAAGATCCAGCAAAGAATTCTGAGGATCTTGGAGACAATGGAGCCATGAAGAAGAGAGAGGCTAGATTTCTAAGTGACCACACAGAAGGTTACTCACGTTAACAGGAATATCCATATTGCACTTTGAGAAGAAGTTGATTAAATAAATCCCTGAATCTAAGATGGGAAGAGCTCTTGAAGTCTATTTCCAACTCCCTATCTCTAAATAAGCTTACTCCTGACTCATTGTTCATGAATAAAATTGATGCTAAAACTTCAGTGGGGATTCTGTAGACCAACATAACCCCCAGGATATGACTAGGTGTAAACTTAAAGGACAACAATTAGCCCGGCCTGAGAAATCTTGGAAGGCTTCCTGAGAGAGAAAATATATGCCCTGAGTTTTCAGGATAGGCAGAAGAGTGGCAGAAAGAGAATAACCTTTTATTTTGGTAAACATTTCTCTTTACTACTTTTAAGGTCTTATGTTTCAGTTAAAGTTACCTTATATTCATAAAGGATTTTCATCCATCACCCTTTTCGACTTGTTCTTTGCCTTTTCTCTCTTTGAGCTGAATATTTCATAATTTATTTATGTGTTACTTATGACACTTCATGTGTGTATGTGTATTACTAGGAATCAAACTCAAGGCCTCTTGCATGCTAGATGAGCGCTCTACCACTTCAGTGACACTTTCAGTCTTTTCCCTTTTTATTCTAATATTGACTTAAAAGTAAACATATCCTGAACTCTACTTCATTGAAGTAAAGTGTGTCAGACAGTACCTCCCCACTCCCTTTCACTACATCCCTGTCATAAAAGCTTCAGCATCACACTTATCAGAGTGGCAGTTCTGAGAAGCTAAACTTGCTCTTCTTAATCAGCGTTGGGCAGAGTGAAAT